AACCCTAAGAGAGAGAAACCACTCAATTCCTACACTTTCGAATCTCAATGGCTTTCAAGAGATCAAGAACGGTAAGGGGGGAAGGCTCAAGGCAACAAGAGGCGAGAATTGACCCGGATTTGCAAATTCCGGGATGGGAGAGGGTGGTCATCACCACCCAAGAGCAAAAACAGAGGATGCTTAACATCATTACGAGGCAGGTAATTCCCACTCGTTTCATTCATCACCCTACCCTCATTAGATTAGGAATTGATAAGCATGTAGAAAAATTATTCAAGGGAGTTGGCATGAGCGGTTTCTTTAACATGCATTACGATACTTATGATTATTTAACCTTAGAATTCGTTTCTAGTTTTAATGTCTTAAAATCAAATGCTTTAATTTCTCATGTTCAATTTCGATTATTCAATAATGATGTTAGATTGACATTGAAAGAATTTGGTAAACTTTTTGAGTTGAAATCGGATAGGCCCCTTGAACCGCCCCAAGACAACATTGTCGTTGTCTATCAATCCCTTACGGGAGATTCCAATTTGAACCTCCAACATGCTAAAGGCACTTGGATACAACATCCCGTGCCAAAGATTTGGCAACGGTTTGTTGGCCTTACCATTTTTGGAAGGCATGAACCCGCCAATGTTAGGCGGGATGAGCTTGAATTACTAGGGTCATACATGATCCCTAGGAGTGAAAAGCTCAATATAGTCCACAAAATGGCCAACCACTTTCAACGGGTGGCCAATGCGGCCGAGGCGGGTAGGTCTAGGGTACCCATTTACTTTGGTGGCCTAGTTACACATATAGCGGTCAAACACCTTAGATTTGTCCCTAACGATGACGGTAAGGTAGCCGGCCCAACTATTATGGACCTACCCTATCTAGGTGGCCTTAATTGGATTAATGTCATGGGAGGGGAGACTTGGTGGGTGATTCAACGGGAATCGGGTAGGAGGGATAATGCTTTCACTTTACCCAACCCCACCTTGACCAAATTTGAGAAGGGAAAGCCTTCTTACACTTTCGAGCTTAACGGTCAAGGTGAGGTTCAACCACCTCACCCTTCACCTCAACCTCACCACTCTCCCATACACCATTCCCCCACTCACCATTCACCACACTACCAACCGCCTCCACCCTTCACCTATGGCATACCCACTTCCTCGGTTGACTATAACGTCAACCCCAATGCCCCTTATGACTTTTTGGCTTTCAGGAGCCAATTAGACCGTATCGAGACGGGGCAAGGGCGAGTTGAGGGTATGATGCAAAACCTAGATTCTAGGTTAAGCACCTTAGATGGGCGGGTTGGTTACATAGAGAGGAACCTCGGGAGGGGTCTATACCCCATGTATGACGATTATGCCCATCGGGGGGCTATTCCTCCCGATTCACTTACTCCCGATTGGTTCCAATACCCCCAAGGAGGGTATTCTCACCCCGGTGCGTATGGTACTTATGTGGACTACTCTTCAGTCCACGGATATGGGGGTGATGCTCCTTTTAGGGGTATGGGGGGAATGTGGACCCTAACTACTTTGCAGGTGGTTTGGGTAATGGAGGTGGTGGCTCTGGCCAAGGAGGAGCCGGTTCTAGCCACGGAGGAGGCTATTCGAGGATGGATGAGGATGAGGAGTAGGCTCCACTCCCAAGTCAATGAGGGCATTGCTTGATTTGGCTTGGGGGGTGTTCTTCACTTGGTAATTCTCTTCCTTTTCTCCCTTTATTTGTTTTCCTAGTGTAGTTTTTTATTACTTTCTTATTTATGAAAAATACATAAAAATTGAAAAAAAAAATTCAAAAATACGTTCTAATGAATTATAAATTATGCTTCCCTATGCCCCTTACTTGAGAAAATTGTTTTGATTCTTGGTATTTGATGATAAGCATTGTGGATTAGTTGATCATGATTTGGTGTTTGATTGCCTTGAAACCTTTACATGCGTCAATTTTGTCCAACTACTTGTGAATATAGTGCTTGACTAGTTGATTTGGTAAGGAATGTGTGATAGTTCCATAGTTCCTGGTATGTCAATGAATTTGAGTATTGGTTTGCAACTATTAGTAATATTTATATGATTCATTATTATGCACATTGTGGAGGACGAAGGCATTTGTTCTTTTAGATAGCCTCCAGAAATTGTAGATACATTTGTTCCCTTCTTGCTACCCATGTTGTTGCCTTGACCTTTTGTTATTTATTAGCCGCATTACAAGCCTATTTTGCCCCATTGGTTACTAGTCCCAAGCTTGGCTTGGGGAGCAATTAGTGAGTGAGGTGAGGGAGTTTGTGGTGTGATTATTATTTGCACAATTTGGGTGGGATTTGAGAAGTTTTTTTGTTGTTATTCATGTTTATTTTTGATGAGTTTGAGAGTTATATTTTCTTGAAAAAATAAAGCATGATATTATGAAAAAAAATAGAAGTTCAAAGAAAAAAAAGAGTGAAAAAAAATAAGTGAACTTCAAAAGAAAAAAAATGTTCAAATGTTCTAGTTGGAGGTTGATCAAAGAAAAATATAATTTTGAGCCTCAATGAAAAATTCAAGTTTGAAAATAAAGTTTGTTTATTCACTCTACTTCTTCATTATTATATCTTATGAGTGAAATTGTAAGAGTTGGGTTTATTTATTATGATTGGAGTATATTTGGTTGATGTTTGAGTTAGTTATGTTGTTGGAGATGTATGATCATTAGTTATTTTGATCATGGGTTTTATTAGGATATGGCTCCTTTAAGCATAGCTTTTCTCTCACTTATTCCCAAAGTTATCCTACCCTTTGCCCTAGCCTTACATTACAAGCTTTAAAGACCTTCCGACCTTTGTGCATAGAATTGTATGAATGTGAAAGTGTTGTTTATCAATGCAAGTTATGACTTGGCATATTTCGAGTCGACTAGTAGGATGAGCGTTCATTGTTTTTATACACACGAGAGTGTGAGTTGGGAGGGAATTGTTCACATTAAAGGGGTTGGTTGGAGAGCGATCCAGTACATCTTTTACTCACCACATAAATGAGAGATGAGTGTGTGAGCACTAGTCTTGAATTCTATATGCTCTTGTGGTTTGCTCTACTTGACAATTGTTAGGGAAGATTGGTAATTAGTTGGATAAGATTGATTGATGTTGAAGCATGTTCATTAGATTTGCCTTGAATCGTTGGTGCTTGATTTGATTATTGGGGTGAAGTATGTTTTATTGATTCATTGATGAGCTCTTTGCTTAGGAACAAGCAAAGGTTTGGCTTGGGGGAGTTTGATATGTCCATTTTATATAGTGTTTTACCCCCGTCCCTTGGTCGTTATTAGTAGTGTTTTTTGCTCTTTCGGGCCACTTTTATTACTAATTTGAGTTTTCTAGTGTTTTCGTAGTTTTAGTTGTATTTTACAGGAAATTGCACTCTTGGAGCATTTTCCCAGGCTTTATGGATCAACTACGGAAGCTAGAAGGACACGACCACTTTTGGAGCCCAGGATCGGTGAAAGCCGGTGATTAAGGTCTCGGTAATTGGGATCCCGAGGCATTTGGACCAAGTATTCAAGACCCGAGGAGGAAATCCGGATTGGGCCTAGAAATCAAGCCCAATCGAATTCCAAGCCTCAAAATGGAGCAAGGGCCCGATCGGGCAACCTCTAGCACGATCGGGCGCGGCAAGGCTTTGTTGTTGAGCGTGCTATAGCGCGCCCGATCGTGTGAGCCTCTTGCCCGATCGGGCGACGCTGATGGGAAGGAACGCGAAGAAAAAGGCGCGCCCGATCGGGCGGCCCTTCGCCCGATCGGGCGCGTGTTTTTATGTAGCTTGATTAGTTTAGTTTTAATGTTTGTTTTAGAAAACGTTTAAGTACGATTTTGTACGGAATTTTTTAGAGGATCTTCTCTCTTAGACTTTCTCTCTCTACTTATGATCTTTTCTCTCTCTTAACTCTTCTCTCAACTCTTGTTCTTGATTATTTTCCATTAATACAGATTAGTTTGGTAACGATTTCTCTTCTCTTAATCTTAGTTATTTACTTTATTCCTTTTATCATGTCTTGCTTTATTGCTTTGATTAGTTTAATTTCTACTATGTGTGAGTAGTTTTATTTCTAGGGTTTATGGGGATCCATAAATAATATGAAGGGGTAATTTTTTGTTGTTAATTATCAATGCTAGATTAATTTCCTATTGATTGAATTAATGCTCTGTGACTAGATTAGGCCTATCTTTTATGCATGAGTTTGACAACATTGATTCGAGATTCGAGAGATGAGGGTTGATGTTTAGGTCTAGTTTCAATAGGCAGATTAATTTATAAATGGTTAAGTCGAGATTCGAGAGATGATATTTAATACCGGTAAATTAATTGTGTGATTGTAATACGTAGCGAAAGCCCTTTACAATCTGGTGAATTGATGCATTGGTGATTGACTATTATTGATTATTGGTATTGCATGATAATTTCTTATTGAATTATTTTAACGTTTTACAATTGCGGCTTGAAAAAGTATAGCAGTATTGAATTGATGAATCGAGCAGATGTTAATTTGATATTAAAGTCTATTTTCAATAAGAACTTAGATCTAGTAAATTGCGAGAGCCTGTTAGATCTATGTTGATTAATAAATTGCGAGATCCTGTTAATCATGTTATTTATGCAATGTCAATGATTGATTACTATGTTTTACCCTGGAGTATTATTTATTAGTGAACCTATGCCCTAGATCCTTTTATATATTGTTTACTCCCTATTCTCAATCTTAGTAGTTTAGTTTCTTATTCAAATATAAATATTGGTTACTTAGATAATTTAGATTATAATAATTAATTAGGAGTAAAAAGACTTGTTTCCCTGTGGAGATCGACCCTACTTCCCTATCTGCTTTAGTTAGAGGACTTAGGAATTATTTTTGATTAGGGGATACGACTTTACCCTGTCAGGAACACAGGAAAAAGGATAAACATAGCTTATCTTAGGAGAATGTGTTCATATTAGAAGCCCAATTAGTCTGATTTGTTGAAATTCTTAGTCCAGTGAAACAACCTTGACGTACCGCTTGAGCATGCCAGACCTCTTGATGGTGCCTGCAAGGTCGACTTGAATAAGCGATGCCTTATATTGTAGTTCAACAGCTAGAGTACTGAATTCTGGCCAGGTCTCCTATACAGTGCACAGGTGTAGTTACTATGGTGCATAAAGCTTATGTAGTGAATATTTGCATTGCTAACTACCTGTTTCTTCTTTTCTAGAAGTTCAGTGGGCGTAGAGTGTAGTAGCTTTGCATATTCTTCGCCGAAAGCAGTGAACCGAATGCTTCCAGTCCCATTTGTTGCAATAAAAGTGAAGTTGTTCCTGCATTGATTGAATGCATATTAGCTATTGTATATGTATATATAATTAGTTTAATGAATCAAAGTTTACTTTAATTCAGCGATTTTCTCTTCTCCACAATATGTGCACATAAACTTAGAGCCCTGAAAATAGTCACAGCGCTTGCTACAAGTTACACATCCAACATATGCAAAAACATCTTCTTCCTAAGGGTTAGGAATTGTTATCTTGGCCCAGAAGCGTGTATCAGGAGTAACATCTGCAGACTGTAAAAATTAAGTTTGTTAGAAAATGAAAGGATTTTTTTAGATTATGTTGTAAGGGCAATTTGCAAAGCATAATGTCTTATCATCAATCTCAGCAATTGGTGTGACATTCTTGCTGCTAAGAGATTCAATGCGCTTAAGTTGGTGAGAAACACAGTCATTTAGTCTGTCAGCATTTCCTTAAACCCTGCATGCATATATAGTATCAGCAAAAGGCGACCAAGGCTTTCAAATGTGTAGATTATGTGGAGGACGCTTAATTAGTAGTGTATGAGTTAAATGTACCAGTCTCGCAGTGCAACTGCTTCAAGAGAAGTTGGATTTGGATCAATAGTTGTTGACATAGAAGAAGCTAGGGAAAAACCTAGCAACAATTGTCTACTGTCAGCTAATACAGAAAACAAATGGACTATATATTAAGGTGTTAAAGTATAATTACCTCTGTGTATAGCTGGTTTTAAATGCCTGAATCTTACTATTTTGAAAGAGTCTAACCAGTTACTAAATTGTTCACAGTCAACAATAGCTAACTCTCCATACACAAAAATAATAAGAGCTTGATCATCTCTGCATGCACAATTATATGTCTAGCTTTAGTAGCAAGTTATAAGTAGTGCAATTATTACTGGTATATGAAATAACAAGTCCTTTGAACAGTGTGGTCAACAAAAGCAATGTCGCGAACATCAAATGGAAATCCATTGAGTGAAGTCTTTTGCCGAACATCTTCCATGTGAACAACAATACCGAGTATGTCTGAATTATGATTAGTAGTAAATGCATTAGATATATGGCAAGAATAATTCATGAGAGAGCATTTGTATATCTAGCTATTAAAATTGAACAGTATTACCGAATCGGTTATTGTCATTGCTTGTTGGGGGAACCACAGTAATAGGAGTATATTGTGGAAGAACAGGTCCAGAATCTGGAACTACAGGCTGGATTGCAATTTTTCCTCCAAAGCCTATCTGGTATGGCCCTTCTCTATTGACGAATTTGGGGTCAGTAGGTTTGATAGGAGCATGTTCTATTATGTATTCCTTTTGGTGATCAAGAAGTTTTTTAAAGTGATCAATTTCATCTCCAAACAAAGTTTCTCTAATCTTATTGCCCTGTATACATAAGAAGATAGCTACAAGTGTTAGTGATACAAGACAGTTAGCATTGTATGCAAATTACGATAGCTACAACCATTAGATGGTACCTCATCATCTGCAAAGATAAGCTTTTGGAACCTCCTTTTGTTAGGAGGAGTCCTCACAGGAGACTTTTCCTTTACAGCAACCTTGATTTTGTATGATTTGCTCTTTGGAGTGAGCTTGCTAAGTGGCACATATTCAGGTTTCATCTAATAATACAATACAGTTCAGTTTATTGTCTCACAAAGCATATATACATATGCATATTAGGTCTTGATTAGCTTACCAAACCAACAATAGCCTATTTTAATTCTGAATTGGAAATAAAGTAAACAGCTAGTATAAGTAGCCATAAAACCAAAACAAGTGTATTATGTGCATGCTATTGGTGTCTTTTAACTGGAAATAAAATCTTAACACAGTAACAAAACAATTTAATGGTGTACAGAAATGTGGCTAACAATGACAAGCATGAAAGACGAAGTAGATTTAGGAAAATAATATTATACAAGCATTAAGTGCAAGTAATGCAAGCAACAATTCAAACAATAATAGTACACAAATATGATAGATCTAGGTGGCTATATGATACAGACAGTAATGATTCCTATTAAATTCCATGTACATGAATATTTCAATATTAGGAAGAATCAAGATAGTCATATCATGCATAGTACTATTATCATTAATGATAAGCATGCAAGACGAAGTAGATTTAGACAAATATCACTATACAAACATTAAGTGCAAGTAATGCAAGCAACAATTCAAACAATAATAGTAGATAAATATGATAGATGTAGGTGGCTATATGATACAGACAGTAATGATTTCTATTTAATTCCATGTACATGAATCAAAATAGTCATCATGCATAAATACTGACAGGGTATAGTCGTATCCCCAAATCAAAAGTATCTGGAACCATGATTGGTAGTTTGGGGATGAAGGTACAAATCCAACCTAAAATAGATTGAACCTGCCCTAACAATAGGCCTCTACTTTATTCTGATCTTATTCATGTGCGCTTTCTGACTAACATGCAATCAATAGGTTTACCCTAAACCTGTTTAATCTATGTTGGTTGAATATTAATGCACAAATAAAACTATTATTGGCGATCACTTGAATTATAATCACATTAACCCTAAACAAGATTATTAATTATCTTATTAAACGTGATCACAAGTACCAATTCCCTTTAAACATGCATAAAAGGCGTGATCAAGCAATAACGATAAATATAATCAAGCAACATAATAATAAATAATAATACAAAATTATAATAATCATGACAATAATCATAATCATGATAATATTAAAGCATAATATTAATAGCAAGATCCTAGGCATGATACTACAAGATTAATAACAAACCCTAGCATGTCACTAAACAATAAAAGTCAAAGCTTTAACCCTAACATGATACTATCATGAAAATTAGGAAGGACATAAGAAGCATCGCAGGAATCATAATTATCATATTTGATATTATAACCTATTCCCTAAACATGATACTAGGAAAATCAAAACGCCCTAACATGACATTAGGAATCATAACAATAACATAGACATGATTTCTATATCATAATATCAATAAAATCAATTAAAGCGCTTACTTGGATGCCTCGTATCTCTTTCTAATAACAAAACACACACGTTAGTAACTTCAAGGAAAATAATAATCAAACAATTAAATTAAATAATAGAAAGGAAGATTTGGGACCAAACCCTCAGAAATATCAAACCTTTCACGTCTAGGGCGAAGGCAACTTCGAACTATGCTAGGTGTGTGTCTAGTGCTAATGTATGAGGAATTGTGTTTGTAAAAGGGTTGGTTTAGAAAGAGAGGGAGAATCAAGAAATTTTTGATGAGAGTTGATGAGAAGAATTGATGAGAATTGATGAGAAGAATTGATGATTAAAAACAGAATTTTAAGAGGCTATTTATAGAGAAAATCAGCCAGATATGATAAAAAAAAATGAATCAGAGTTTCGAAAAGAATAAAACACAACCGCAGCACCAAACACGCGTGTGGCGCCAAACGCTAGACTCTAACGCCAAACGCCAGGAGTGGCGCTAGACGCTAGACTCTGGCGCCAGACGCCATGAGTGGCGCCAGGCGCTGGAAAACAGTTTTTGCGGATTTTGTTTTTAATCATATCTTTAGATCCAGAAGTCCAAAAAATTCATATAATATGTCGTTGGAAAGCTCTTAAAGTCTAATTTCCAACCCAATTGGAATAAAATTAAAATATTTTGTAGATAAAAAGATATGGCCGAAATAGTGGAAGGGTGTCAGTTTTGGATAGAGTTTCATATCTCATTCATATCTTTTTCGTTATAACTCGAATTTAATATTATAATATATCATTGTAAAGATAATTTCAATATCTATCCAACCATATAAGAACTGGATAAATATTACGAGGCACAAAAATAAAATCTGAATATATTCCACTTCGTACAAAACAAGGATTCTAAAAAGGAGTAGTTTTATTCAATTTCAAACTCTTTGAAACATAATTATCAATCCTAACTCCATTAGGATTTAAGAGAACCTTCTAGAATATTCTAGAAGACTATAATCAATCCTAATAGCTTTAGGAATGATAATTAATAATAGGCCCTCCTCTAGATCATTGGGCAGCATATAAATACCAAATCGAGCCCAGTTTAGTATTTTGGCCATAACTTCCTCATTATTCATCGTAATTGGGCTTATAATATATCGTTGGAAAGGTCTTTTTAAGCCATATCCAAATACACTATTATTGGACCCTTATCATGGACCAAACTAAACTGGAATGCACGTTTTTCATAAATAAGGTAAGAAAAAAAATATTTTCAAAAACAGAAAGAAGAGATATTTTAATAAAAACATCCTCATCACTAGACTTTTCACACTTTCTCTTTGTTCGATAATCAAATGACGTGAAAGGTATTCATCCCTGGGTTTGGTTTTGGGGATACACAAATGGGTGTCTACAGAGATATGACTTAAGAAGCAGCGATCTGAACCCTAACGTCGAGCCGGAAAACTGAACCCAAACGTTTTCTTCATTCTCGTCGCTGGGTACTCGGTGTTTGTCGCTCTTCATTGTGGTGAGGCGTGAGAAAGGAAAGAAGGGAGGCTGAGAAAGGAGATGAGAGAAGAAAGAGAATGAGATGGAGGATGGAGGGGAGATAGAGGAAAGAGAACTGAGGCGTGATGGAGGGGAGAAAGAGGAGAGAGAGCGTGAAAATGAGGGGAAAGGGGACGGAGGAGAGAGAAGATGAGGTGCCGTGTAAGTGGGTTTTAATTTCCTAGGGTTTTTTTGCCCAAATGGCAAGCGGTTCAATGCTCAAACCGATTGCCATTTACATTTTGGCAAGCGGTTCATACAAAACTGCTTGCCATTTACATTTTGGCAAGCGGAATTCAATAACCGCTTGCCATTTGTGGCTGCCCATTAAGTTTATTCTACTAGTTACAATGCTTGGCATTAATAAATTGCTATCTGTTTATTTAGTGGGTAAGATAATATTTTTTAACGAATTCTGTTTTACATAGAATGTGTTATATCTGTATGAAAACATACATGACAGTTTTAAAAAACGCAGATATTAATTAAGATGAAATTATGCTTAACGTTATAAATTTGCTGAATCTATTTAACTTGTCATTATTACTGTCACTGAATATTTAAAAGGAATATTTAAGATGGTTTCTGTTCAATTTCTAAAAACTAAATTTTATTTAAGTGTCTTCTTGTCAAAGCTATAATTAAATGCATTTAATGTGATACAAATAACTGGCCTGCATTTGGTTCTATATATAGCATTGTTTGCTATCAAGCATCCAATGTCTATCGAAGTGTGATTACAGAAAAAATACATATCTTAGCAATGTATTTATAAGGTATAATGGCTAGCTATGCAATGATGTTTACTGTTCGTTATGAGGCTGAGCATGCTGAGAAAGTGGTATGAAATATAACTTTGCTTTTTCTCTTCTTTTTTTTTTTTTTGCTGATTTAGTATCCTGCGCTTATACTTTGTCAATGAATTTTTATCTACAGCCCATCCCTAATGAATTCCAAGACATATTATATGAGGGTTTCCAAAATGTGGAATTGCTGGTGCATGGAAAATTAAGAATCTGGCAAGCTACTATGGTACAAGAAGAAGATGGAAACAAATAATGGATCACTGTTTTAGAAGGTGGTTGGTGTGATTTTGTTAGGGATAATGGTGTAATCCCCGGCGATGGCCTAGAATTTTCATATACAGGCCATAGTGTGTTCTATGTCCAGATACTAAGGCCAACAGATAGGAGGAGAATATAAAGCAATAGACTTGGCAAGGAAAATGACAGTTTGAACAAGAGGTGTGGGCGAAAGCCTGCGTATCATGAAAGCTCAGGAAGTATGACCGAAGCAAATGCTCGACTTTAAGAGCTTGCAAATTGCTGTCATGAGCCGGATTTTAAATTTATTTTTACAACACCTTATCTTAAGATAGGGACAATTGTATGTGTTGATAATAACTGCCTATTGTAGTTAAGTATTTTTTGTATGGTTTAAACTTTTCCTGATAGATTATTAATGTATATATTGGCGTTGTTTGCATAATGTGCCTGTCAATTTTGCAAATTACTGGTTAAGTGAATTTGAGGACTCTACTCATGTATTACTGCAGAACTTTGATACACAGTTTCGTGCTAAGGTGAAATGTGTGAAGAAAAATGGCCTGATCACCAAGTGTGAGATAAAGAAAGTCAACAACTTCACTTCTCAGTATAATGTTCAAGAAAATAAAGGGGCATTAATTAAGTATAGAAAGGGATATCCTGCACTCTTTGATATAGATCTAGTGCCAGTCTGAGCCACTGAGAAATTTCCTTCGTCTAGGTTTCATGTAATAAGTCCTAATAATGAATTTTGAAGCACGGAATAAGATAAGTGTAATGTGTACAATTTAATTTAGGCATTCTGTATTGGTGGTGCTTGTATGGACATTTTGCTTAGCATGCTTTTTCTAATCACATGTCTTTTATGATATAAGAAGTTCTATGTTGTGTAGTTTTTTATATTAGACTGTCAAGGACTATTAAACTGTAAGGAATTTTTTAATGATGCAAGAACCTTAATCCATAAAGTTAAATGTAACAAGCAAAGATGCTTAAAACATTTTTTGTAAACAAATATCTGCTGAGCTCATGCCACAATGTTCAGAAAATCTAGAACACAAGATGTAATGAATTCAGGGTTCAAGTTAAAGGTCTTACATTTTACGGACACATTAAGCTGTAAGCCACACCTCTGCACAATCAGATATGCATTTTTATGCTGTGCAGTGCCTCAAGTGGATCAGAACCAATGCACATTAATTTTTTGCAGTTTTACCTATCAATTAATGTTCAGTAGCATTTAATCCTATGAGCATAATCCTTTGTCAATCAGTCTATTTAAAGTGTTATCTAATTTTGTGGTACATGAACTGTAATGAGCACACTTGTATAGGACATACCTTTACCCTAAAAACAATAAATTGAAATATTTTTGTCTATATAAAGGAAACTAACAGTTTTTTTTATAGTGCGTGGTTTCTGCAATTTCTTAGCTATTTTATACAATATATTTCAAAACAAACACTTCACAATGGTTGGCAAGGGAAAGGTAAAGAGGATAGTAGTGGGCAGCATGCGTCACCAAAAGAAACAACTATGGAAGCAGTGGTGAATCGTGTTAATTAATTCACTTGAGGAGAGGATGCAGAAGCTAAAGAAGCTTGTTTCTTATCTTTGTTTTGGCTAACTTGAAGATAAACTCCCCAGTCAAGAAGGAAACTTTTTTATGCATTCTGTTGAGTTTAATGCTAAAGAAAACTCACGAGAAGTAACAAGAAAGTACACTGGTCATCCTATCCTTCGCAGCACTAATATCCACCATCACTCTAGTCCATCATACTCCCCTGCAAGTGATGCTTCATACGGAGGTTCATTTTAAGCTAGAGAGTCTTTATGCTATTTAAATAACTGCTAAGTTTGTATTACACTACTGGTGATCTAAGTAATTATTGTTAGTTTTCTAAATGTACCCTGAAGTAGTATAATGCTAGGAATGTGTTGAGTTTAATATTAGGTGTGTAATGCCTGAGTGCTGAAGTTTTATTGACTGTATTGTATTATGCACCCTAAGTGTGATTTATCACTATTTTATGTCTTCTTATTTGTATTAATGCCAGCTAACTTTTAGTCAGAAGCTGTTTTTTAATGTCTGTTCCTATTATAGTTTAGTATATCCATATAACAGCTGTTTACTCAACGTATATGTAATGCATGAAGCTTTGTTAAAGTTTAGTGTAAAATAAACTGAGTGCTGATAATGGTAAGGAAATCTTAGTAAAGTCTTAAGATATACTAAAAATATAAATAAAAGTAATGCTAGATTGTATTACATAAAAGCAAAAGCATATGAAGTCAAGAGAAACTGCAATAGGCTATACAAAAACTAATGAAACTGAACAGTGACAAGTTCATACATACCACAGTTTCTTCTGGCTAAATGATTGAAACTAATCTTAGGACGTCGTAAGAAACAACATTTTTCACATGTGAAGTAACAGTGTTGAAGATACTTTTAGGCTGAAGACAATGACTTTTTCAGATTTATTTGCACGCGAAAGTGCTACATATAGCTTACCATGTGAGAAGCAAGGCTGTGGGAGATATATGACAACTTTGTTTAATGTTTAACCCTGTGACTTGTTTATTTTCATGGCAAAACTGAGCTTAATTGGAAATTGCTTCCTCTTAAATTGAAAAGGGTAATTTGCTAAAGATGAAGGGCGAAGATTAACACGCGGCAGGAACCAATATTTCCCTTTGTAAGTGCATGTTGCTATCTCGCAGAGAATATTATTTGGTAAAAAACGCTTACATATAAGTCTTGTTCCATTACACAGCCCTTCCAACAGTGTTATGTTTTGCAGTAAGATGACAAGACAGTCTATCTTCAAGATGAGCTCATGCGGGCTCATACCTCCGAGACATAATTTGTTGAGGAATTCAGTTAGGTATAGTAGTGTACAATTATCATCAAGAAGCGAGTCGAAGCTTTTGTAAGTAGCGTGCTCTCCAAGAAATCAGTCAATGATATAAGTATTGATTGAATCTACATCTTCATTCATAGGTGTAAGGATTGCTATTTCTGTGAAGATGGTTAGACATATGTCTATACTGCTAATTTCAAGAAAAGAAGCAGATGCCACGACAGGTACAGGATTGATTTCTTGATCATAGCAACGTACAATGTGTGGCGGAAACTATACAAAATCAACTTCAGCATTCTGCAGCTATCCATTTGCAAGTGCCAGTAAAAATTCAGAATATGTAGGATCGTGTTTAGCTCTAATATTCTCTGTTAATCGAAATCTTATTAGCTTAGGCCACAAGTATGAGCTGACTAAGCTTGCAGCTACCACTTCTCTCTGAGACTTACGAGGAACAATTGGTAAAACTTGCCTGAAATCTCCCCCAAATACGACCACCGTCCCTCCAAATACTTGATCAGGGTCACAGAGATCCTGGAGAAGAAAATCAAGGGATTCCACATTTTCCTGTCGTGTAATAGATGCTTCATCCCATATTATCAAAGAAGTTACTTTTATTAATGCGGCCAAACTACCCTGTCTTGGGACATCACATGCAAGAGATATGTCTGAATCAAGAGGAATTTTAAATCTAGAATGTGTTGTCCTACCAGATGGTAGAAGCTGCTATCCCTGAAGTGATCATAGGCAATACAATCTTCTCAGCTAACCAGATTTCAGCATACAATTCATTATACAAAAAGTCTTTCTGGTTCCACCAGAACCATCTACAAAGAAACAACCAACAATACCGTTGTTTACATGTTCCATAATGCTATCAAATGCAATTTACTAAGCTGGATTCAGGGAGTCTCTGCAAGCAATGCATTCATCAGGTATTGGTGCTTGTAACGCATCAGCAATGTCCTTAGTTCTCCTGATTTCTGCATCAGCGGGCTAGATTAAATGGCCTAAGCCAAAATCTCCTAATGATCTACCTATGCCTTCTAACGACTGTTCAATTGATGTTACAGTTAGCCTCCTTGCTTTCTCTTCATCACCTGGATTTGCATGCCTGTAATCTTGTGCAAGTGAATTGTAGAAGCGGAGCCATAAAGTATTTGGATTGCTGGGCTGACAGAAGATAAGGATAGTAGCAAAAAGTTGCCTCATTGCCACAGGCATTTGCACTTTTGATGCTTCCTCTAAACAAGCCACCACTGCACCATCTTCCTCCATAAGGCCTCTTTTAATAGCTGCTTCCTGGAAAGTGGAACAGACATGTCCATTCACCGTTAACAAATCTTCAAATGATGTAGGACTCCGAATATTAATAAGTAGCAGACGTAAATAAAATAATTCGCCCTCGCCTGGAGCAACAAAGGCTAACCTTCCAACAACTATTTTCTTATTTCTTCTCTGAAACCATGCCTTTTTCCCATTATCCCATGTATAGTGTTCAGTCAGCAACTAACAATTTTTTGCACAAGAAGAACCAAGGTAGAAGATCAGAGACTGCCACACATAACCATTAACAATAAAACTAGGTTTTGTTTTTTTTGTAATGGTTAGGTGTCTTTTGTTAAATAGAATAGGTAGGCAGTCATGAATAGGTAGTGAATATGGAATAGAACTTATGTACACTCTACCATTTTTTGGGCAAATGAAGTGAAAGAATTAACATGTTGATAAGTTGTGCATTTATGGCAAGGTCATTGTGTCTAAGTTCCATTAGATGGGATTGGTTTAACCATATTAGCTACCATTAACAGGAACCTCAACAACATCCTTTTTAAGAAGATGTTGGAGCATCCTTATACAATGGGCTCAAGTCATAAGAGTCCCTTCATCATTTGGAATTCCATACAACTATGATGCAAGGTAGGTGGGGGGACTCAATGCATCAATATAATAACCAACAATAGGGACTCACTCAAACTTGTTCACCAGCAAACAGTGGGGACTCAAAGGAAACAACACAAACACACTTCAAACCAGAGTATTACAAGGGCTATACCACAAGTGTTATGGTCATCATCCATACATCACAAGACCTCCAAGTTGCATGACTATAGACTCAAATAAACAAGCAGCCAACACACATCCAGCCCATCAACAACAATTCATACCAACCAGCACAAGGGACTTAGAACTACCATAATTAATTAAAAATAGAGAACATCCATAATCACAACAACCAACATCAACAAGTTCAGCCAACATGCTCAAAATCATTATAAAGGAACAATAACCATAATGACTTATGCTCAGATTTAACAAGCATAAGTCATTAATCAGAACAACCAAGAGCAACAACTTCAACCAACATATTCAGAACAACTAACAGCCACAAATTTAGCCAACATAGCCAGAACAACAACCAGCAACAACTTTAGCCAACATAATCAAACTCATAAAGAGAAACACAAGAATGACTCATTCAAAGGGACTTAGATATAAGCAAAAATCATGCAATTAGGGTTTAGTAATAGTTACGCTGCATGATTAGATATCTGGGGGGAAGTCATGAGGGTATTTGTCCTCAGATAGGCCATGTAGCAGGGATCCTAGTCGTTGTAGTCCTCCCTCCAGACAGATCTACCCCTCTTCTTTCCCCGAGGAGAACCACCACTACTTGACGCCTTCTCAAGCGTCTCCTTCTTCTCCGGCTGAGCAAGTTTAGGGCTCCCCTTCAAGCCATCATCAGCATCAACCACTTCTCCACCAGTAGCAGGGAGATCTGCAACCACTGACGCCGGAACATCAACAGCCTGCACCGGATCTGCTTCCACAACCTCCTTCTCGTCGTCGTTGGATATATACTCAGCCAATTTAGCCCCAATTTTGCCTCCAAAGTACCTGGAAAATGACGCAGAGCAACGACAAACTGGTTTCATAATTCCAAATCCTCATCGAGCAATGTAAAGAGTGGACTCCTCATCTTTCTTAGGATGAACTAGGGACTACGTCTTTTTTTTTGGACTCATTTTCTCAGAAATTGCAAAGAAATTGAAGTTAGGGTTTTAAAGAGAAGATGGAAGAGAGAGAATAGAGAATGAAGATGAGAGAGAAAGGAGGAAAATGGAGTAGATCTAGGGTTTATGAAGTTATTCTGGAGAAATATCCAGAAGAAGGAGAGCCTAGGAACCATTGTCGAGGTCAATTGAATGAAGATCATTCAATTGTGGTAGTTGAGGAGTTGGATGATTTCTTATGCAATCAGATGGGGGTGGGTAATTTTTGGTGGGAATGGTTAGGTTAGATTATATTAGATTAGATTAGATTAAGTGAATTAGATTAGGAGTTAAATAAGTAGTGTTTAGGGAAAATTAAAAGAAGTTAAAAAAAATAAAGTAAGGGTAAAATTGTCATTTTACCATTAAAAACTTACCATAAAAGAAAAGAAAATATTTTATTGTAAGTAATGTGTAACGGCTATATATAGTATTTGTTGCGAGTAAAAAGAAACGGAGGGAGTATGCAAAATTTAATATTAGTATTTATCTTGAGCCAAGGGGGAGGCCATGGCCTGAACATTAGGCTGCATTTCCAATTATTATTGATGCATGCTGATTAAACGAACAAACTTAAGTAATTAAGGTTCGATAAATCATCTTATAATAGTTATGATGTAGGAAAAAAGATAATTTATAAATCAGCTTATATTATGTCCTTGGTAAGCTTCTAATCACTTAGGGCATGTTCTTTTCAGCTTAATTTCTTCAGTTATCAGTTCAATTCAGCTCTAATTAGTTCAGTTCAGTTCCTAATTTCCTTCTCTCATAAACAATTCATTTCAGATGTATTCAGTTCAGTTCAGTTCAACTCCAATCAGTTCAATTCAGTTCATTTCAGCTCGATTCAATAAGTCAGAACATACCTTTAATTAGGAAGGATTTACATAGAGTTTGATAATAAATTTATAACCAACCACCACGAGTTGGGTTGTCACGTATTCGTGGTGTAACCCATCCAATATGGTGTGTTCTATAGGTTAACTTAGCTAGGAGTGCTTTTTTTTTTTCTTTTTTGTGAACCTAGCTAGAAGTTCTAGCTTCTTTCTCTTGCAGGAATAATTTAGACAACCTTAGCCAAGTGATAGATGAGTAACAATTAACACTTTCCATCCCAGATCGATGGTAGTTGCATCGGTGCAAATTTTTAATTTTGGTTATGTTCTTTAATGATACAATACATCTAAATACATGTGTGCTTTAGATTTCAGTAGATTAACCATGTACGATAATTCAAAATATATGAATATTAACGTTTTGGTTTGAGTATAAAAATTTAAATTTATGTAAATTTAGGAATATACAACACACGTATTTTTTTTATTTATTGACATAATTGTGCCCCAATTTGAGTAGCACAAATGGCGGAAATTTAACTAATTACATGTATTTTTTTTGTACATAAATAATAAATGATACAATCTATGTTAATCTTTAAAGGGAACACCCTTTTTTGGTTGGGAATTTTCCCTTTCCAAAAATACCCTTTCATAGTTACTGAATTATACAAACATATTAAAAAAAAAGAAAAAAAAAAGGAAAAAAAATATCAAATAAAGTTCCATGCACGTGCATCCTATTCAATTGGTGGTAAAAATAGAACTGCTATCTACGGTTCCATTCAAAGCCAAAAAAAAAAAAAAAAAAAAAAAAAAAAAAAAAAAAAAAAAAAAAAACTGCTCCTTGAAATTAGGTGTTGCATTAGTAGGTGAACACATGTCCACTACTATCAAATTACTCCCTAGCAGTTATCCTCCAATACAAATATGAGAACAAACAGTAGTTACTCTTCCTTTTCTCCTTTTACATCCAATTCTATATTTTCTAATCTTAATTTGGAAGACTAACACTCTCTTTTCAAATTCAACTGTGTGTTTTTAGTATTGCAAGGTTAGTATTTTGGGCACATAATAATAGACGAATTTGGTTTTATCATATCAAAATTATTGATTTATTAAACTCCATAACTTTTATAGTCAATCTCTTTTCTTTTTTTTTCAATTTTGCCAATCATTATCTACTCATTTTCATCTTCTTTTATTTGCAGGATGTCAATTGCTTACGCTCCTTTCGTGTATTTGAACCCGTACTCCAAATTTTGGAATGTAAAGGCAAGGATAATTAGATTGTATGAAATTCAACATGTCAATAATAACAAAAAAAATTGGAAAATGGTTCTTCTTGATGCTACGGTGTGTAAACATTTTTTATACTTCCTCTTTACAGTGCATTCTTATTATATTTTTTATTTTTTAAAAAATAACATACTCGTTTATATTTATCTATATTTTTTTACAGGGAGAACCCATTCAAGGTATTATATTTACAAAGGATGTTGACAATTTTATTGGCAAATTTCAAGAAGGTTTAGTGTACTGTTTTAAAAGGGTACAAGTTATTCAAGCTGACAATTGGTTACGAATAGTTCGTAATCCGTATCAACTCAACATTACTACAGACACAGAAATATCCTTGATTGATACCGACATTGAAGATTTCCCCAAGTACTTCTACAATTTGGTGTCTTTACACGGTGTGACCTCATTCAAGCGCATTGAAGGAATTGTGATAGGTTAATATATCACCTTTCATTTTACATTTTATTTTTATTTACGGTACTTTTTTTTTTTTTTTTTTTTGGAAATCTTCAGTAATCAATTAATTAATATTTTTCCTTTTATGTTTTTTATTTTTTAAATTAGATGTTGTGGGACTAATTATATATGCAAGTGAGATTCACCGGAATGACATTACGGGTACTATTAAACAAGATATTATCCTGCTTGATCAAAGGTAAAATCTAAAGTTTTAGAGGACTTGAAAGCTTGCCCACTCAATCACTCATGCATTCATTCATTAATTTAATTTATATCGTACACTGCTTGAGTACTAAGATATCAAAACCATATTAAGATATCATCAATTTATCCTATAAACAAGGTAACTACCCAAAAAATATAAGATAAGAATATCTAATAATATCTTAACAAATCCCAATATGATAATGACGCAATATTATTTATTTATTTATTTATTTATTTATTATATATATATATATATATATTACTTTATTCTAATGAACTAAATTTTTTTAAATAGTTGTTTTGCTATGAGATTGACAATATGGAATAGCTTTGTCAACAACATTGGTGAAAGAGCAATAGAAGATTATGATCAAAATCTCACTTTGCTTGCATGTAGTGTCCAACTTCAAAATTATAATGGTAAACTTAATTACATGAACAATTTTTATTATAAAATCATAGTTTGCTACTACAAAAGATTAATTTTATGTAGATATTGATTTAATTATTCTAAACTCACCTTTTAAGTACACTACATTTGACATCCGGAAGGTACACAAGGTTATATATCAATCACAATGATTCTACTTCCCATGAAATAGCAAAATGGTTAATAATTTATGTTATTGTAATGCTTTTTTCTATTTTTGTTATATTAATGATTTTTTTTATATACATAAATAATAATATTAAACTAATAATTTCAACCGTCACTTTCTTATACATTGAGGATGATATGTATTTTTTTAAAAATATGATCAGCATGTTACTTAAAATATCTAATGCAATCTTAATTTTTTTAAAAGGTATTGTAATGATTACTTTGCTCAATCAAAAGCTAAGTGGATACAAACATGTGGACTTTCGTTACATCGGACACTTTTGATATCAAATGCCCGTCGTACTACAACATTTAAGTTTCCATCAAGGCCAAGAGTAATATTTCACCATATTTCAATAAATACACTATTTACTTTTTTTTTTCCATCAACTATTATTTTCAATTATTCAAGTTTTATTATTTAATACTTATTAAATTGTCCAAATTATCTTTTATTTGTTTCTACATAATTATATTTTTAAATTGTTGTACTTTATAAATTGTCCATGTATCTTTTCCTTATAATTTACAGGGAAAGGTATATAGAGTTCTTGGGATGTTGGTTGATATTAATGTAAAAAGCCTCACATGGTATGATGCATGCTCTATTTACAATTATAAAGTCAATTATTTTGGTGATCAAAGGACATGTTCAAATTGCCACAAATATAATCCTGAAATCATTCAAGGGTAAATTCCCTGAATTATTTTTAGTCTGTATCAATCATTTCTTATTTTTAATCAGTTTTTAAAATTGTTATGTATTTATTTTGGTAAACAGTTTATCACTCAAGATTACTATCAGAGACTCAAGTGGAATATTGCATTTGATTTTGTTCAACCAACAAATTGAATTCCTTCTTCGGTCTACTGTGTCCCAATTAAAGGACTTGCATGAACAGGTTAATCTACACAACATATTTTTATTTGCCATCTCATTTATTTCTTTTTCTAACATTATTATATTTTATATTATACACAGGTAAATGAGAAAGAGATGATGATGTTGTTACATACACATTATGATACCTCATATGTTTTTACTCTTACATCCCAAAGTTCTTTATCGTCACACTACAAAGTTATTTATGTCACATTTGTTAATTGGGAGGAAGAATGTGCATATTTACTTAAAAGGTGAGCACATTCATAACATATTTTGGTTCAATGTAACTAAACTATTATATGCTATATTCACTATATTGATTCTATTTTTTTTTAGGAAACGAGAAATGACTATAAATCAATCATGAAGCCAACGCGTTGTTGATGGTGCTCCATAAAGTTTTTACTTATATAGTTTAGCACTTTGTAAAAGAATTTATTAGTTTGTACATTATGTGATATGTAAATATATAGTCTTTATACGAATTTTACTATTTTGCAATGTAATCAATGTTCATACTCTTACTTTCAACAATATTTTCACAAAGAAATAAATGATAAAAGTCTAACTTAAACAAAGAATTCATCAAGTTATTGATCATCAACGTAATATGTAATATGAAACAAAGAATTCATAAAGTTAAATTTCAACACATGTACAACGTATACATGAATATTCCATAATTAATGGAGGATTATTTTTAATCTATCATATATAATTATACCATGCTTTGGAAACCAAACCTAACAATTCAAAGTTATCATAATTCCACTATCTACTGTTGGGATAAGAATTGATTAAATTAAATTAGTCACTATCCTACAAAAAAAAAAAAAAAAAAAAAAAAAAAAAAAAAAAAAAAAACCGTCCTCACATAAAAAAGAAAATCGTCCATCTTATATGGGATACAATTTCAAAGGTTATTTTTCATTTGGAATCAATCAAAACTGCTTCTTTACTCCAACAAAAAAAAATATTAAAAAAATGTATCAACAACCACTATTATTAAACATGTCATCAACTCCTTCCCATTAATATATCATCATTATCATGATCTTCCTCACTAACTATATATATATCTAAATATTCATCCATTTAATTAAAAAAAACATCAATATAAATTTTATTTCTACTTCTTAGATTATTCAATAACCTTTTTGTCAAAATAAAAAAAAAATAATAAATTACATTTCTTTTAACGTTTTTTTTTCACATACAGTTTTACTACGTTACTACACTAAGTCTCTATTGTATTATTAAAAAACAACTACTCACACTATTATCCAAATAAGAAAGTAACTTCTCTTAACATTTAAGAAATGAACTATGACGTGACCATGTCCACTATCAAATTAGGAGTTATATTTCCTTAAAAACATGAGTACAATAGTAACTGTTTTTCCTTTTCTATTGACATCCACTATTTTCATTCTTCAATTGCAATGTACTAGATTAATGCTCCCTACTCAAATATAACTAGGTGTTGCAAGGTATTGCAAGGTGAGTTTTTGGGAAATCTAATAAAGAGCTTTAGGGAAACATAATAATATATGATTTTGGTTGTTTATAAATTTATAATTTTTTTTGTTATGTTTCAAGGTATGGAAAATCAAATGTCATCTACATCATACTATCGTAGGCTATCACGAGAAAGGATGACCCCTGAGCAACTTGAACAAGAAGCTATTGCCCGAAATGCTCAAAGGCGGGCTACTTACCAATTAAGGAGAGATGCTCGACAAAATGACAATCGTTCAGCTTTAATTGATATTACTAATCAAGATGTCGCAAGTGGCACACTCACTTCTTCAAATCATGTTTCAATTAGAAGCACATGTGAGTTCAGTTACATAGACTACGTTTGAAGCATTTTCCATATTGTAAATAGTGTCATTGTTCTTTATATGATATACGAATATGAGTTATTTACAAAAGATCATAGATATTTATGTTTGTAGTGTTAAAAAAAATTATGTAGTTACAGTACTTACTTTATAAAGATGACTAAAAAATAGTTTGAAAGTATAAAAGTAGGCCAGGGGAGTATAGCTTATATGTTGTCGCAAATGAATTACATATATACTTAGTTGCACAAAACCACAATTAAGATCTGATTTATTTAAAGTTCTGACCAACAACAAAATTATTTTACTAATTACTAATTTTTTACTGTACAAAACAACATTATTATCTAATAACAATTAAGGTTTTAAAGAGCTATTGTATTGACTCGATTAGTCACTAATTGAGAGAAGAACACTAAATAATGATTCACCTCTAATACATGATTTAAATTTGGAAAAATTTCCAATTATAAGAGTAAGTGATTCTTGAAAGCTCGAGAAGAACAGTCTGTTGAGATTAGAAGAAGAAATGAATATTCAATTTCACTCTAAACAATAGAAATGAATGTATTTGATATATTTATTGGCATGTTGTCAATCAGCTTCACCTATTTTCACATTTAAGGAGAAATAAATATTCATCACCCATCATGTTTCAGTTTTGTGTTTTTTTTCATTTTTAATGTACGTATATGTAAGCATTAAATGTACGATTTTATTTTCCACATTGCATTGCAAACTAAACTTTTCAAAACTCACTTTATTCTAAATAAGTGAATGCCAATGCAAAATTGCAAATATTATAACTCTCTCCTTCTCTTTCTTAATTACTAAATCAAATGAGACTTACATGATACTATACAGTAATTGTGTGTTTTCTACACCTAAATTTGTTTTAAAATTGTATTATTATCATTTTTAGATCAAATTATACCTGATCATAGCTCTAATAAAATTCAAAGTGAACCTAACTCACCCTATACTATTCAAATATACACGTTACAAATGAAACCAATTTGCAACTGATTAACCATTGGAAAAATTCTTTGACTTATCAAATAATTATTAAAAAAGCCAACATAGCCTCCATCCAAAACCAAAAAAGGACCTTTTATAATAATAATAGCACACTTGCCATTATAATAATGCCTACGCCATGTCATATAGACATATACTAACTAAAATTTAAACCATTATATTCACACATTCAGACTATGCATACCAAAATTTTCTAATGCTTTTATGATGAAATCAATCGGTTCCCGCTACTATAACTATTACACTTCTCATGTTGGTGAGAAAACAATATCATTATATTATGATAAAGTAACAACAATTGAAAAGGGATTGGAACCTAACCATCTATAACTTATCCCCAAATCCGAAATATCCCAAACGGTGAACTGGATAAGACACAAAAAAAAATGATAAAGTAACAATTTCCATAATAATTGTTCAAGAAAATGTGACACAAACTAATCAATAAGCTTATAAAAATATTTAATAATTGTGATATATATGCACACTAATATTTCATTAATCTTTAAAGTCAATACATGTTCATTTATGTATTCTATCAATTATTGAAACATATTAAATTTTTATCAAACTTACTATATAGTATTTCATTCATTATACAACAATTCATATTGGTGAAAGTGTCATATCGCACAATTTTACGTGTAATGGACAACAAAATATCCAAGGTGGTAGCACAATTTTTGGTGATAGTGGCATTCAAGGCAATCCTAATGTAATGCATAACAACAATGTTCAAAGAAGAAATAAGGGAAGAGTATGTCATCGTTCTGCAATAAACTTTCATGAGCAAAGAGGAGTCCCGATCGTTCAACTATCACCTCCGAGAACGTGTGAGTTTTGTCAAGCTCGCCTTTTTCATAATGAAACATCCCAAATATGTTGTTTGTCTGGGAAGATTACCTTGCCAACCTTACCTGTTCCCGAAGATCTACGTTCTTTATACATTGATCAAACACCTATTGGAATACAATTTAAGAGTGACATTAGAAAAATTAATCACTTATTCGCTTTAACCTCCATGGGAGTGCACTTAGATGAGAGCTTAGCTAATGCTCAACACGGAGTATACACATTTCGAGCTCAAGGGTCTATATATCACAAGATAGGCGGGCTGCTCCCAAGTACATCAGAATCTCGACCACGATTCCTTCAGTTGTACATATATGACACTGAGCATGAGGTTGAAAATTGTCTTGTGGAGAATAACACAATACGACAAGATATTGTAGAAAAAATTAAAGCCATCCTTGATCGGTGCAATCCTTTTGTTCATAATCTTCGAAGTTTGGCTCAACAAGGAAACATACAAGAATGTGCACTCCGTATTAATGAACAACCATCAGATCGACCACAATATTGTCTTCCTACTTCTTCTCAAGTTGCGGCTGTGATTGTCGGAGGAGAAGAGGTTGCGAACTTAAATCCAAGGGATATTTTAGTTCAATCAACCTCTGGCCAATTAATGAATGTGTTGGATACTGCTGGATACTATGATCCCCTTCAATATCCATTACTATTTCCATATGGTTCTTATGGATGGTCGATAAACAGTCTTGATAATAATGGAAGAACCATACCTTGCCGAGCATTCTACGCTTATATCATTCAAGTAAAGTACACTCCTCTCTCGGATTAACACGTAGATTTATATTATTTTCTCATAATTTAACAATACTTTATTGATTGTAGGTACGACAATATGTCTCCATCATCTTAATGGCAGGGCGCTTATTTCAACAATTCATTGTTGACATGTTTGTGAAAATTGAGGCAAATAAGCTAAGATGGATTCAAGATAATCAAGATACAATTAGAGCTGAATTGTATCAGGGACTTCAAGATTGTTTAGATGTCGGAGAACTCAATCCAGGTTCTTTTCTTAAATATGTTGTTTGCCTTTAATTTTAATTTTACTATTATTATGTAATATAATATAATTTACGGTACATTGTAATTATAGCAAATGCCGGGAAAACAACCGTTCTACCTTCTTCGTTTGTCGGGTGTCCAAGAGACATGAATCAAAGATTTCAAGATGCAATGGCATTAGTTACACATTATGGAAAACCAGACCTGTTTTTGACAATGACATGCAACCCATCATGGAGAAAAATTGTAGATGAGTTATTGTCAGGTCAAACAGCACAAGATCGTCCCGACTTAATCACCAGAATATTCCATGCAAAATTTGAGGAATTCAAGATGGACGTTGTAGAAAAAGGCGCTCTAGGGAAGGTTATTGCCTATGTCTATGTCATTGAGTTTCAAAAAAGAGGCTTGCCACATGTTCACATGCTGCTCATTTTGGACGAAAAAGACAAACCAAAATCTCCGGAAGAGTATGACACATTTGTGAGAGCCGAGATACCTGATAGAGATGAAGAACCACGATTATACGATGTTGTTTTGAAGCATATGATCCATAATCCGTGTGGCGAAGGTCGTCGAAATTCTTCTTGCATGGAAAATGGGGTTTGTAAACGTAAATTTCCTAAACCCTTTGCAGAAAGCACAGTCCAAGGCAAGAACTCATATCCTATTAATCGTCGTCGTGGTGATCGTTCGCCAGTGCCTTTACATGAGAATAGTGCAACCTTCGTTGATAATGGTTGGGTTGTTCCATATAATTCATGGTTGCTACTAAAATATGATTGTCATATCAATGCAGAGATCTGTAGTAGCATCAAGAGTGTAAAATATTTGTACAAGTATGTGCATAAGGGTGTAGATCGTGTTTCAATGGAAGTTCGAACAGGGGCTGAACACAATGAGATTCAACAATATGTGGATGCTAGGTGGGTATGTGCACCTGAAGCATTATGGAGGATATATCAGTTTCCCATTACTCGAATGTGTCCATCTGTTGATCGGTTACAGCTACATTTGCAAGATAGGAAAATGGTTAGATTCAGTACAAATCAATCTATTGAAGACATCCTTCAAATGCCACAAAACTCTCGAACTATGCTCACAGAGTTCTTCAAGATGAATTCCTTAGATCCAGAGGCAAGAACATACCTATATAGAGAATTTCCTCAACGTTATCGGTGGCTGACGGCTATAAAAACATGGAGAAAAAGGAGGAGTACACAAAGAGTGATAGGTAGAATCTACACAGACTCACCAATGGAAGGAGAAAGATTTTTCTTGCGTTTGTTGTTGGATCATGTTAAAGGCCCCGAATCATTTGAGCATCTACGTACTGTCAATGGGATTGTTTATTCTACTTTTAGAGAAGCAGCTGAAAAACTAGGTCTCATGGAGAATGATGCAAGCATTCGTGATTGTTTGCGTGAAGCATCAAACTCTAAGATGCCATCATCATTGAGAAGATTGTTTGTCACGTTATTGGTTTATTGTCAACCAACTGGGGTTCGATCTTTATGGGATGAATTTTATCATTACATGGCTGAAGACTACTTATATTCAACTTCAACAAATCCAGAGCTGGTACGTGATTCAGTTCTCTATGATATAGATCGCATGTTAAAACAATTAGGAAAGAGTGTCAATGACTTCGACTTAACTAAAATAAACATGCGATTGGATGGAAATGCACAAGTAGCTAGAGCCATACATGATGAATTATCAGCACCAGTGCCCCCTGAAGACGTGCATTGTGCGGAGCATCTTAATGACGACCAACGGTCTTCATTTGATATCATAATGGAAGCTATTGATGCAGAGAATGGTCGAATTTTCTTTATAGATGGTCCAGGTGGGACAGGTAAGACTTATCTATATCGAGCCATACTTGCAACAGTCAATCTTAGAGGGAAATTTGGATTACCAGTAGCCAGCTCAGGTATTGCTGCCACACTATTGCATCGAGGAAAAACCGCTCATAAAACTCTTGGTATTCCGGTTACGCTGCATGCTTCGTCAACTTGGAAGTTTAGTAAACAAGATGTAGAGGCGCAATTGGTCAAGTATGCAGCTGTCATTATATGGGATGAAGCAACAATGACTCATCGACATGCGTATGAAGCAATTGATCATAGTTTAAGAGATCTAACAGGGGTTGATGTTCCATTTGGCGGCAAAGTCGTAGTGTTTGGTGGAGATTTTAGGCAAATTTTACCCGTTGTACCAAAAGGAACAAAGGCTCAAACTATAGATGCGTGTTTGGTCAGGTCAACACTATGGAGACATGTTCAGCGACTCCATCTCACTCAAAATATGAGATCGATACAGGATACTGAATTTGCAGCCTTTCTTTTAAGAGTTGGAGATGGATGTGAGCCTACAGTTGATGAAGACATGATAAAGTTACCATCTTCAATATGTGCAGGAAATGGTGATAATATTTCAGTTGATAATCTTATCCATCAAATATTCCCAAACCTCACTAAGCACGTAGGTGATGTGTCATACATGGTACAAAGAGCTATAATAACACCAACAAATGACGAAGTTGACATGCTTATTGAGAAGATACTTACAGAGTTTGTCGGAGAAGAAAAAACCTACTACTCATGTGACACTGTTCCAGAAGATCGTCAAAATCTCTATCAACAGGAGTTCTTGAATTCATTATCCTTTGGTGGTTTGCCACCACATATTCTTAAGCTAAAAGTTGGCTCTCCAATCATGCTTTTGAGAAATATTGATACAAGCAGTGGGTTGTGTAATGGGACAAGGTTAATATGTAGTCGGTTAACGGATCATGTGATTGAGGCAGAAATTTTGACCGGAAGTCATAAAGGGACACGAGTGTTCATTCCACGTATTCCTTTAAAAACGGCATAAGATGTGAAGTTGCCATTTGAAATGATCCGGAAACAATTTCCTGTGAAATTGTGTTTTGCTTTGACCATAAACAAATCGCAGGGGCAAACCATTCCTCATGTTGGTATATATCTCCCCCAACATGTTTTCAGCCATGGACAGTTATATGTTGCACTATCGAGAGGGACCTCACAAGAAACAACCAGAGTTTTGGTTAGTAAAGGAGATGTTCTAGGTAGATGTGGTGTATTTACAAAAAAAAACGTGGTTTACAAAGAAGTCCTCCTGCCTCATATGCCACAACCCTAATTATCAGGTATAATCGTAAATATTAAACATGCATACATAACTATTTAAGTAATATACATCTATGAAATGACTTCTTTATCTTCTTATCAGGGAGCAAGCTAAGCGTGATAAAAGTCAACAACTAAGCATCAAAAGTGTATGGAAGCAAAAACAACTCATGCTAAGGATATTTTTTATGTTTTTAATATTGTAATTTTATTACAGCATTATCTCCAAGTATATCTACAATATGTATGCGAAAATAATTTCAACTCTTAATTTTCATAAAATATCATGTATGTATGTAGTATATTGTGCACGCATGGCGTGCATATTTTAGCTTGTATCTTTTAATATGTACTCCCTCCTCTTTTTTTTTTTATTTGCATCACTTCCCATTTATAGTTGTTTTTTTATTTTATCACTTCTTTTCTTTATATATAGTAACTTAAATTATATTTTATTATTTCTCTCTTACTTTAAACCCCACTCAAGTTTTATTTCAAAAAAAAAAAAAAAAAAAAACTCACTCAAATTAATTTATCAATTCTCTCTCATGGTCCCACTACTCTTTCTCACATACTTTCACTTTCATTTCTACACATTACTTTTACCATAATAATTTATTCACCTACTCACAATAATATATTACTCTTCTAAAACTTTGTGCAATCTCAAGTGATGCAAATAAAAAATAACGGAGGGAGTATAAAATATTTGAAAACCTCAATGTTAACTCTAACAAGTCACCTCAATGGGCCAATTGACCATATTGGTATAAAAGTTAACACCCTTATGACAGATTGGTATAAAAGTTATTGTCGGCGACATATTGGTATAAAAATTACCATGTGGCGACATATTGGTATATAAGTCAACAAATTGCGACATTTACCCCTATTTTCTCGTCGGAGGATATGCGTATGATACACGCACTTAATTTTAGTGCTAATAACTTTTATTTGACATTTTGTTTTTTTTGTACTTTTCTCTACTTTTTATATTAATTTAAAAAAATTATGAAGTAAAAATCCAAAAAAATAAATAAATAAAAAATTTTGAAAGCCCAAAAGTGATGAGAAAGAAGCTAGGAGAAAACGAATAGGAAAGCTTGAGCAAAGGGTTATAAGCTTGAATGTATTGAGGGCGTTGGTCATTGAAGCATTACAAGGGTAGATTCTTCTTTTTTTTTTAAAAAAAAAACACTCATATATATTTTTTCTTATTATATTGTGGATTTACAAAGTTGTGGGTATAATACAAATGAAGTAATAATGAAAGTTAGCGTCTACTAGTAATTGGTTTTGAAATTAAATAACTAATATTGAGATTTTGTTTATTGTTTATTAGTTCTTTGGGGTTTTATCGTTTGATTGATTTATCAAAGTTATTGTATTGGAAGGGAAGAGAGAAAAATTATTATTTGGTGCTGAATAAGTATATTATGATAATAAATAAGATTGCAAAAGTAATTAAAACAAATTTTTGAAGTATACAACACGCTCTTTCATCCGAAAAAAAAGGGGGTAAATGTCACAATTTGTTAATTTATATACCAATATGTCGCCACATGTTAATTTTTATACCAATATGTCGCCAGCAATAATTTATATACCAATATGTCATAAGGGTGTTAACTTATATACCAATATGGTCAATTGGCCCACCTCAATGTGTAGTTCTAATATTGTACAAGTGTTTGAAAACTACACATTTAGGTGACTCTAACAAGTACTCACATGAGTACATGACCAAATTAAATCTAGTGGCGGTTGCAACTTATACTAAGTTAAAAAAAATTACTTCGTTTTTAAATATTTGCTCCACTTTCATTTCGCGGTCTTTTTTAAATACTCCCTCCGCTTCATTTTGTTAGTCCCATATACTATTTTGGGCGTTTCAAAATGAGGTACCCATATTTAATATTTCCTAACATTATTATAAGGTGAATAATTTTCATAATCCATGAATAATTAATCTAATTGGGTGTTTAAGAATCAAATAATTTTGATTGGTTAATGTATGTGCTAGTGAATTGCTGACATGGCAAATTTTTCAATCAAAATTTATTATAGGCGATTAATTATATCCAGTAACCATAAATAAAACAAGAAAAGACAAAACATTAATTACAAAATTGCAATCAAATTCCAAATTACTAAGATTCATTCTTTTCTTATTTTAAGTGATTGATTCCAAAGGGGACTAACAAAGTAAAGCGGAGGGAGTACTTGTTTTATTTCCTTATTTTGAAAGTTTCAATAATATTTAATTCATTTCTCTTAACTAGTAAGACCCAATTTTATTACTTTTAGATTTCCTCTCTCTAATTTACCTTTCACTGGCCCCACTACCTCTATATTTTATTACTTTCTCCAATCTCTCCTAAAATTCCGCACATAGAAAAATGGAACAAGTATTAAAAAACGGAGGGGGTATAAAATTAAGTTCATTTTCTTTAAAATGGAGTTTTTTCATAAAAACTATCTACTTGACCTATTAAAATTAATCAAATGTATTTTGACCCCGTTAAAAAATTTTCTAAAACCGCCACTGATTAAATCTTATATAACAAACATTAATCAAAGTGATGTATGTGAATAGTGTAAAAGTCAAATTGGGACACATTAAAAAACGGAGCGAGGGAGATCTTGTGAACTGTTAGTAGAGTTAAGCTTAAAAGAGACTTGAATCTCGTGTATGTGTGGGTCATTGAGAAAATTACCAATTCGATTTTGGTGCCTGCGATTGAACGACCCATCTGTACAAGTAGCCTGTTTTGCAAGTTTGAGATGAAAAAACCTTGGCCAGAGTTTGGGTGATACACCCTCTTCCCGGGTATTTTGATTTAAACGCACTAATTGTTCTATGATGGAGGTCAAGTTCCTATCATTTCTTGCAAGGAGTGTGTTCAAATGATAATTTTATCTTAAATTCAATTCAAATCCCTGAAACCCTCCCGGTCGCCCAACGATCATTTCTTGTATCATGTATATTTTTCCTGGGAACAGGTAGCAACACATACAACCAAGGTTGAATTGCTTACTTATAAACTTGGTAGGGATCAGTCAAATACTCAACTAGCTCGAGTATAAAGTATGGAGGAAAATAACAGTACATCTAGTTTAGTGAAATCTCTCTTTACAGCAATGTCTGGTGTAAATTGTTCAAGTTATTTTACAACCCCCTACCCAGAAAAAAATAATAAATAAATAAATATATAAATAAATTATAAATTAAAAAAAAAAAAAAAATTTAAAAAGTGTGAGAAAGCTTGCTAGTATATCAGCCTGATTGTTTATCCTACAAAACCCTATCCCTGTAACAAGCTTTTGCTTTGCTTAATGCTGAATGCCAATATCACATTACTACATAAATAGGAGCGCTTACTGCCAGATCCTTTTGTGCATTCCTGATACTGAATTTGTGACTTTTGAGGACATAATGGAAAAATTCTTCTGATAGACCAATTAGTACTGCACCCTCACACATAAGTCGAAGGATTTTCTTTTTTCCAAAGATATGATGTTGGCCAGGATACTTGCTCAAGTTTAACTTGGAAAACCTCAGAAAATTCCTGAACCAGTGATTTCTGGGCCATGTCAATTAGTACAGAATCATCAGTACCGAGTTGATCCACGTTTGATTTATACTGGGATGCTTGGACTTCTCCAAGTAGTTGCTTGATGCTTCCAACTTCACGGTCTCGTATTCCACAAGGTACAATCTGTTGGAAGGGTGTCAGGTCTACAGAAACATTCAGTGCTAGTCCATGGTATGCTATCCATTGAGATACCCGTATCCCAATCGCTGACAGCTTCTGGTTTCCTGCATTTGATGAGAAACTGCAGATTAAAGAGGATTTCTATAGGTAACATGGAGACTAGAGACCATCTAACAAAAATGATTTTGCTCCCTCTGTTTACAAATGTACTTAAAAGGGGTTTTTCCAGTGACAAGAACATATAATTAGGGGACAACAAGACAATGGTACCTATACTTTAAGTAACTATACAGAAATTCCAGAAAAATCGACTTATAAATATGAAGCTATGCTCATAGTAGATTATTGCGAGGTCCTTTTAAAAGACAAGAATAAAATGATGAACCATTATGCATTGTAAAAGTCAAATGTCCATTTCATTTATCCAAACTTCGACAACATTATTAACCAACATTATCAAGTACAGCCACTAGATGCACCCTGTTGATAAATGACCTGGACAATAAGGTGAATCAGTTTAGAGGATACGATTCATACCAACCCAAACACCTGTTAAGCCCTTGAGTCGAGAAGCCTCAATTGAAAAAGTTGAGGAAAGAGCACGAATCACCACCTCCTCAAGAGCCCTTAGGTACCAATGTAGATCCTTCTTGTGATTCCGAAGATTGATAATAGGGTACATAACCAACTACATTAAAGATGAAAGAGTTAGGATAGTGACCGGGATGATTTGAATTCAAATAGTAATAACAAAAGAAATAAGTACTAGATACATCTATTGTGCCGAACTTCAAAACAATATTTATTTAAATATTGCAACCGTACATGCAGAAAATCTGCACATTCTTAAGTCCGATTTCAAGTACTTTTCGGACTTTCATGTTATCTCTTAACAGAGATATTAACGTTATTTTTAGCCCAAGGCTGGAATCTTGGTAATGTAATTCAAACAAGCAAAAAATAGATGCATAATTTCTGTCAGAAATGAATACAATTTAAAACATAGCACAAGATAAATTTCAGCAATAAAAGACATGATACAAGAAAAGGTTAAAGAAAAGAGACAGATTCAGTATATTAAAGAAGAAAATGTACCTGTCCAGGACCATGATAGGTAACTTCACCACCACGTTCAGTCCTAATCACATCATAAGGGGAACGTTCCATATTAAAATTCAAGAACTCCTCAGAGCTACCAGTGCCCAGAGTATACACAGGAGGATGTTGCAGCATAATTAGAGTATCAGGGCACTCTTCGTTCCTCTCAATCAAATATTTTTTTTCTTTAACAATGGCCTTCTGCAACGCCAACGCCTCACTATAATGTACAAGCACATTGTGGAGGTCAACATATTCACATCTGTTGGACAATGGTGACTCTACCAATTACGAAACCATGTTAGCTCCAACAAAGTATATCAAATCAGTATGTTAAGCTTGTCAAATTGAGTCTTGAAGGTGTTTAACTTAATCTCACCTTTTCCTAGTGGAGAGTTTTGACAGAAAGTCTTTGCTAATGGAAACCTGGCTTGGCAGCGTGTGCTTAAACGAAAAGCATAAGAATCGCGGCTACACTGTCATTGATTGTGAATTGGGTACATTATTACCTAGTCAAATGTATGTTACAGACGCCACAGCAAAACCCTGTTCCGGCCCGAAACCCCATTAATTGATCCCCATCATAAACAGATTGGAACCACACAAAATCAAGTTTGCCAACCATAGAAATTGTTTCATACACCCGGGTGCACGGTGCCCCAAGAGTATTTTTTGGTCATTTTGATAATTGTTACTCATTATCATCAAATGAACAAACAAATACTCTTAGGTGTACCGTACACCCGACTGTATATAATGATCTCTCTGCCCATAATATTCAAAATATGATGCAATTATACAAAAAAATTTAGTTGTAAATACAAAACCTATACAATTTGATTTTCAATTTCATAATAAGTCTGCATTTGCAATGAAAAATTCACAACTTCCACTATAATAATCAATCAACGGCCCAACTTAAAGCATTCTAGTTTCCCCAAACATTTCCATTGTTCAGACATCACCAAGAATAAAGGAAAGATGAACAACAAAGATCAAGCATCAATGCCTTTACAAAATTGACAACTCACTAATAAGAATTGCAACAAGAATCCCCAAATTGAGCTCAAATTTTAACATTTACGCATCAACATCACTAAATAACTGCGTAGAATCTCAAAAAAAAAAAAAAAGCCGAAAAAATAACAAATTTAAAACTGAGAACCCTAACCTTACGAATAATGCCGAGCTTCTTATCAATCGTAAGACGTTCTTGATCTTTATTCTGACAATTACGAATGTCGCTAATGAAGACGGATTGACCTCTCATGAGAGAAAGCGCCATGATTGCTCAGAGCAAAGGAGGAAAGAGAATGATGGAAATTTAATCTGCGAATTATCGTCGCATTTTTGGGCTCCTATAGGAGAGGAGATCACAATGGAGTGTGATGGAGGAGCGAAAATGGAGGATCGTTTGAGAGAAAAATTCCCAGTCTTCCAGCATTTTTCGAATGCCAAATCCTAATGGAAGTTTAAAGGATCGTTTGGCATCTATGTGTTTTCTGTTTTTCGGTTTTTTATTTTTTTAAAGTATATTATATATATCACATATTGAATCAAAAATTATTTAGACTTATTAAAATTATGATAATTTTGAAAACTGACAACAGAAAAGTGGAAACGCCTTTTTCTTGTTTCTTGTTTTTGGTTTTTAGTTTTTAAAAACTGAAAACCAAAAATGATACCAAACAAACCCTAACTTCTTGAAAATAATAAATAAATAAATACAAAATTTATGTGGTGGCATTTTGTACATAAATCAACAATATTTATTAGGATAATTTGTCAGAAAAAACCTTTTAAATAGCTCATTTTGCAAGAAAAAACCTTTTAAAGCATTCTTTGTTAAAAAAACCACCACGATCAATTTTTTTTGTTGAATGAAACCTGAGCTAACTTTTCTGACCAAGACTTTCTGGCATTGACTCCCTTATTTTCCTACTTTTTTTTTTTTACAACAGCTTATTATTATTTTCCTACTTGCTGCCCTTTGTTTTGTTAATTGCACTCCCCCTTTTATTTCTTCCCCTCATTTTCCCTCCAAAGTAGTTCATCAATATTCTCTCTCTCCTCTCCTCCATGAATGCTTTGTCAAAACAATCACATCAATTTGGGTTTCTCTCTCTCTCTCTCTCTCTCTCTCAGCTCGCCATTAATACTTGATCAATAAATTGAGGTAAGTGTAAAGTAATAACTTTTAAACTCGAAAATTGCCTAAGGCTATGTTTGGATAACAAAAAATGGAAGGAAAGGAAGGGAAGGGAAAGGGAGGGAGACAAAGTTCCTTGTTTGGATAATATGTTGGGGGAGGGAAGGGGAGGGGGAGGGAGGGATCCATTTTCCCTCCTCCTTTAATAAAGACCATCCCTTCAAAATTGGAGAGATTTGGAGGGAAAATGGAGCTCATGATTTCCTCCACTTTCTCTTCCTTCCCCTTCCTCCTATTTCCCTCCCTTCCATTTCCCTTCTAATTTCTTATCCAAACATAGCATAAATAAATTGGGGTTTTTACTGTGTTCAAGACAAGCAAAGTTGCCCATTTTTTTTACTCTTTTCAATGGGTAAAGGACGAAGGAAGAAGACGCTTGGACAAAAATCAACGATCCCCAATTACATAGTGAAGTACAAACCCAGGTTTGTTCTTCATTTGCTCAATTTGTGTCTAAATTGTTAGGTTTTATAACCAAAAATCAACTTAAATCAAACATAATTAACCTAATTGTTGTTGGTTGTTTGATGATTTTGAACTGTGATGGCTTAAATAATACCAACTCAATTTGATTGGAATTGTGAAATTGTTGCCCTAGATTATTGAATATTTGGAATTTTGTTTTTGTTGTTGTGGGTTGCAAGTAGGAAAATAAGGGAGTCAACGCCAAGAAAGTCTTGGTCAATGCCGGAAAAGTTAGACCAGGTTTCATTCAACAAAAAAAATTGATCGTGGTGGGCTTTTTAACAAAAAATGCTTTACAAGGTTTTTTCTTGCAAAATAAGTCATTTAAAAGGTTTTTTCTAACAAATTTTCCTTTTTATTAAATGCGGATCGTGTTAATAAGTCATTGGGTTAAATCATATAACTAATATATAAAACTAAATTTTTAGTCAGGTCACGAGCCAGCGACACTTTTTCATATTTTAGGATTAAATCTATTTGGATATAATTTTACGATAAAATTGTTAATTTAGAGTTTTATGTTTGATAAAATACCAATTTCAGATGTACAAATTGAATTATAATTTTATTCAAAAAAAAATTATTAGATTATAATTCTATAAAATTATCATATAAATCTATATTTTATATCATAATTATTTTGGAGCGAAGGAAGTTGTTTCGGGGTTTTCTGATGTCCTGCGGGAGAGTTACAACACCGAGACTGGAACCGGCCGCCTGTACCTGCAAAATAACGGAGACTCCTGAGAGCTCCGCCTCCAACGGTCAAGTTAGTACCTGATTAAGGAGTAATGAGTGCGGAAATTAAAGTGGTTTAGTCTCTCTAGGTGAGAGTGTTTAATGTATAATCCGTGTGTTATTAGAGTTCTCTGTCTTTTTCTCTCTCCCTCCTTAATGAGGATTAAGAAGAGTATTTATAGTCTTGAGAAGCGTGCCACTCTCTAGGTTTAGGGTAAACCTAGGGCTGACCGGGCCTCTAAACAGGATTGGGCCTTGGTGGCCGGTTTTCCCATTTGGCATGGGTGGACACGTGGCGTGTCTCAATTGGTCCGCAGAGGACGTATCTGTGATTGACACGTGGCAGGCTCCTATTGGCCTACGTGAAGGACACGTGGCGGAACCTGGTTGGTCCACTTGTCAGAAGGTGATTGGAGGATAAAAATCCCCTAATCATTTGCCCCTCACAGGTGGCACGTGACTGGTCACGTGTCGCCTGTGACAGGTGTCGCATGGTGAGAGGCGACGGCCTGCTACAGGTGTCACCTTGCAAACGGCCGAGAGATTTTCCCGCCCATATTTTGAATTTGAAAGCGACCATTCGCCTTCTCACTTTGCCTATATAAGGAAGTGCTGACTTCGGTCATTTTCACATTTGAGAATTTTGCGAGAACATTCGGACCCCTGAACTTGCTCTGACATTTTCGGACCTTTTCTGCCTACCGCCTGTTCTGACAAGCCGACTGACCCGGATTTCCAGATCTTCATCAACCGTCACTCGTTCAGGTAACTCAGTTCTCTTACTCTTAATTTTCTTTTTATTTTTTGAAATGGCACCACGGAAGCACACGACACGACCTAAGTTAGTGATCAGCCGGTCACCGGGGACGGCTGAATCTAGGACTAGGAGTGCCGCCTGCCCTTTTCTGGACCCATCTTTGCCCTTTATACAAAGTCCGACTGTATCTGTGTCTATGCAGAACGTGATGGCCAGAACCAAAAAGACTGCCATGATATCAAACTCAGACGGCTCCTCCCAAAGGGTGCTCCTTAGTGAAACATCTGACCAGGCGCCAGATGTAGAATTGAAACGAGGCGGCTGCCAAGCCGACAGTTCTGAGAGAGGGGCCAAGGTGGTCCCTTCCCATCTTACCGTTGATATGTCTAATTTTCCTCCTGCTCCTTCTAAGGGAGAGGAGGCGGGCCCCTCTGGGAGAGGGGAGGAGTCGTCCTCTTCGGACTCGTCAGAGGACGAGTCCGAGTCCAGCTCTTCTGGCCACAGTTCTCCAGGCTCAGAAGAAAGAAACAGTCGCCTACAAGAGGCGAGGCTTTCTCATGCAGTTGAGAAAGGGGACAATTGGGCGGAGCCGTCCGCCTCTCACAGAGAGGAAAACACCCCCTATTACTGCACGGTACCCCGGGGCCGGATCGCGGCCATGAAAGACAAAGTGGAGAGCTTTATAGCTAACCACAGAATGGGCCCCGGATTTTTACTGTTCGTGCCGGATCCAGAAGACACTGTCGTCTGGCCGGCTGGTACCAGCTATGATATCGGCTGCTTTGGCTGCTATGAGGCGGCCATCAAAGCTGGACTGCGCTTCCCATTACATCCGGCTGTTCAGCGGATTTTAGATGGGTATGATTTGGGGTTATGGCAGTTAGCCCCCAACTCTTGGGTAAACGTACTCGGCTATGTGGCCGGGTGCGAAATGTACGGGGTGGAGCCAAGCTTCGAGGCTTTCGCCCACATGAACTATCTCAGCCGGACCCCTAAGTCGGGCGGTACCGGCTGGTATCAATTAACAAGCCATAGGGGTTACCTCATGACGAGAGGTAAGGCGAACAAATGGAAGGATTGGCGGAACACCTTCCTTATCATCGAGGGTTCAGACACGGAGCTGAACAAACGCTTTAACAAGTGGAATAGGGATCCGCCTCTTCTCGCAGGCGGCCGCAGCATGCCACCTGTTCCCCCAAAGGCTAAAAAAGAGATCCTAGACAAAGGACTCTTCAAAGTAGAGACTAGGGTGAACTCTACTTCAGGGGTACGAGAGCAAGTACCCCTAAACTGCGTCCCGAGCTTCAAATGGCTCTATGATGAGTACTTTTTGGCCGCCTGTGGCCTCAGCAGTCGGTGCTCTAGAGGTAGCCGGCCTGTCAAATGCTTTGTTTTTTCACACCTTGTTTACTTGAGATTTTTACTAACTTTGCTGTTTATTTTTTGCAGCTGACGCCATGAGTAAAATAACAGCATCCAAGACTGCGGCGGCCATGTTGCGGGCCTCTCTCATGAAGCAGTCCTGTACCGACTCCCCCAACAAGGGGGCACCCTTGGTAGGCCTCGAAACTCTTCCTCTTTTAGGAGTTGTTGTCTTATGCATATTCTAACTTTTTTTTTTTTTTTTTTTTCAGTCGGGCACTCCAAGAGCTTCTTCCTCGCAACAGCCGGACCCCAAGGCCCGGAGGACGACTGTTGCAAGCTCTCCTGGGTCTTCCAGGAAAACAGTGGCGGCTGAAAAGCAGCCGGCCACTTCTTCTAAAACTCCGGCGGGGCCGCCTAGAAGTATGGACAATTACTTGTAAAAACCTTCACTTGCTTTCTTCTTGACTAGGTCTAACTTGCTTTTTTACGCTTGATGCAGCCGGCCCTCAGGAACCTGACTTGGTAGAGGTAGCCAAGTCCATGATCAAAGCAGTTCCTCCATCTGATAGGGAGGCGGTCAGAGGTGTCGGCACCCTTGACCTTGATGGGATTGCAGGGGTCCTTGCTGAGGTATACTTAGCATTTTTTGTATTTGAGTTCCAGGACGCCTGTTATCTTGTTTGGAAACTGACGTCTGTTCCCTTTTTACTTAGGCCCTGCTCCGAGTGAACGGCCTTCGCAAGCCGCTTGATCGGAAAAACAAAGAGGTAAAGGCTGCAAAAGCTATGGCCGCCTCTAACTGTGACAAGGCAATGTTTCAAATTGCCCAAAATGAAGTTCTTACAATTGATATTCTTTATTATCAGGCGCAGGCTACCGCCGCTATCCGGGCCCAGTTAGAGGCGGCCCAGAAGAGGAACAGCGAGCTGGAGGCGACCGTCTCCAACCTCAAGGCCGAGCTTAAACCTCTCCGCCAAAAGATACTCTCATACGATGCCATGGAAAAAT